CAGTTGAGTTTTATTGATATAGTGCCAAATCATAACAACAGTGCCTAAAGATGCTTTGGGTTTTGTGGCTTCATTGGATGGGTACAGTGAAGACTGACAGGAAAGCAGAGGGAGGGCGAGACATGTGGCAAAGGGCCGTCGGATTCAAACCCGGGCCCACCGCTCTCAGCCTTACGGGCACCTGCTCATCCCACTGAGCTAAACCGGCGTCCTGAAGGTGCTTTACGCTGAAAGGTAAAAGTATTGTATAATAAGAGGATCTATCGGCAGGTTTGTACCATAGATCAGACAGTCGTCTGCATATGAATCACTGGTTTATTTTGCTTTTACAATCCGCCACGACACAAACATCCTCCAACCGCACACGATTTTGTTTCCAAACTTCATTGCAGTTTATTTCACACCTCGAACCTTTAGTAAACAATTAAACAAAAAAAGTAAACTCCAATAAATTACAGGTTGCAATTAAAAAAAAACACTAAACAAACCATCTTCATGGTGTAATTATTTTATTGTAGTTATTTGTTTTTTACTGTGTAATAATATTCAACATTGCTATCAATGCGTTTAAAAAAAAAGTCTCTTTGTGCAAAATCAGTTTAAAAACATAAACATGTGGGATCCTGTTCGTCTGTGGTTTGGAGAGCCCAGCGCTGCTCCCGACGCAGGGAAACGAATTCTGTCGCAAAGACCGGCCTCGGCACTTGTGCAGGTGAAGCCAAAGGCAAGATATGCTTCACCATATGTTCTTGTCTTTGGCTTGGAACAGAGTTGGTTTAATATTAATAATAATATTGAATACTAATAATAAATAAAGCATATTTGGCGATGCTTCATCTTCTGCTTTGCGTTTGTGTGGGAGCCCCGTCAAAACTGGGAACCACTGATATAAACCATCGTTATAAATGATCATTATTAGCATCAGGTTCACTTTTTCTTCAGAGGCAACAACACAAAGCATTTGTGAGTGAACGATCAGCTCGGTCTTGTTTTGAAAGTTCCTTTGTTAACCAGCCAGCTCTGATCTGAAGGTGTTTGTGCATTTAAAAAGTGTGTGTCTGTGAACAGTGTGTGCAGATCAAATGACAGTTTTCATATTGAATCAGCAGGAAAAATTAATTTCCTTGAATGGATAAATCTTCAGACGGTGGCCGAGTTTAGAGAAACATTTAAACTGATGTTCATGAAATTCAGTAAAACTTGATTTAAGACAAATGTGAACAAACAGGTTTGAAAAAAAACACACACACGAACGCACACGCGCATACACACACGCACACACACGCGCA